CCCAACAACTGTCAAACTTTAAAATAATGTTTAGCTGTCATACAATTTCATCAGATACTCTGGGAATATAGATTGTCGCTGTAGTGCTGTTTATACCCGGACTTCACCTTTACTTCACCTATTTTAGTCATACTGCTGTAATATAGAATCACTTGTTCCAGTATGACAAGAGCTATTAAATGAGCATATATGCACACCAGGAAAAAAACAGCCCAAAGGAAAAATAGTGATCACTTGCCAAAAGTAATTAGGAAATACTGAATCTGACTTATGGCAAACTTTTGTTAAGTGTCGTTTGGTTTATAAACTCTGACATTGTTGCCAAGCTTGATGTGATGTGGCGATGTCAGGAGGCAAGTGTTTGCTCTGCTATTCTGGGGACAACGGTAAGCTCCAGAGCAGCAACCTTTAGATTGAAGTGTTTCCTTAACGACAGAGCCACATAAACAGGGGTGACATCACCAGGCAGAGTGAAGAAAAGTTATGGTGAAAGGAACATTTTCCACTTCATCCAGAAATCAAGGGGGGGGACCAAATCAGCCCAATTAAGAAATAAGTGTAGTAGAAAAAATGGATAACAATAAATTATCTGACACATGCCTTGCCTGTGTTGACATGCTGTAGCAAGACCGGGGCCTTTAATGATGGTGTGGACGTTCGTCATTCACGACTTGACTTTTCTTTGAACTCAAGGCTGCACTTGTGGAAAATCCAAACTCGGTCTTGCACAGTGCTGCAAGCAAATGTGTACACACTCACTTCAACTTGTTCTAATTTTCTTAAATGAAAGGAACTTTTAAGTTGCCAGTGAAATGTAATATAGGAGACACTGGTTGCCCTGTTTGCATGGTCTCATATCCTCTTACAATTTGCTGCAGTGCCATGCCAGCCACAGAGGCCCCTCAATCCAGTGAGACCCAGAAACCACACCCTACTGCCACATGAGTGCAACATCAAACAGTTTCATCTTGGAGATGTACAGACGGAAAGAGGAAAATGAACATAAACAAAGAAAAGAAAGGCAACCAACCATTTGACTTGACTGAATTACAGAGGGCGGAGACTAGGCAAACATAATTAGTTTGATTCTTGTGTATTCGATAGAGGAAGAATATAGATGGGACAAGACAAATGAAAGCAGGGGGAAGATGGGGTTTCCATGTAGTAGATGAGAAGTTCACAGAGAAACAACGGTGTTGCTTCTCTTTTTCCCACTTTGTCTCTCTTTCTGCTTCTCTTTACGCTGAATAACAGACAGAGAGAGCATCTGGTAGCAGTTATCTCACAAACCAAACTTTTTTTTCACCCTTGCTGTCTCTCCTCCAAAGCACTTTTTTTATAAAAGGGGGCCCTAAACAAAACACAAACAAGGTCTTGCTAACATTTTACAATGGTAACAAAACTAGGCCAGGGAGCTACCCTCCCACTGGCTTGTTCAGGTGAACCCGTTTTACAAGCATTCTTCAGCTGGGGGAGCGAAAGTTAAAGGGGGAGTTGAAGTTAAAGAGGAAGGGCAAGGGGGGAGGGGGGACAAAGCTCTTGGCACCCCCTTCCCTAATAAAACCTTGCCTCTGTCCAATCAACGAGGACTATAGACAGTGAGCTGTTCCAAATCTTTGCTGGTTATAAACTAGAATTGGGTGCAATGATTGCTTCAGGCTGCCCGTTTGGCTTTAAGAAGTGTGCATGGCTCACATATGGCTCAGCTAGCCTAACACTTGGATATTACCTCAGAGTTGAAGAAGAGGGGACAGAGGGGATGAATGAGATGCCAGCAGACTGACTGTGGCTGAATAAAAATCTGGTATCAGCAGCTCTTGTCTCATTCTCTCACTCTGACTTGCTTTGGGTAAAGTAGCTGTTAATATCTCAGGAGTGGAAAGATGGCTGTCATATTGTACAGAGTTTTCTATAATTAACTGTGGAAAAATAGGCACAAAAAACTACCTGTTGAGTACTAGCACACCAAAACACCGGAGTGAGACATACAGACTTTAACAGGCACGCACGCGCGCACACACGATCACTGTCTATCTATGGGTGACCTTGAGATGTGGGGTGAACAGGACGCTTTACACAGCTTGAGATGACCACAGGAACCTTTTGTGTTCTTAAATCTGGTTGTAAAACAGCCTCCAATGACAAGTCAGAGTCAAGTCTAATAACTGGCACAGAGTGAAGCTTCAGAGAATCTTGTAAAACTGATGAATACTTTAACCTGGCCTGGAACCCATCTAAGGTAAAGCACATTAACTCTGTTGAACAAAAAAAATTACAAGTTCAAATCTAATGATGTACATGATGTAAGTTGTAAGACACAAGTTAGATGCACCAACTGTTGTTTTCCTTGAGATAGCCTGCAGCACTGCCGCCTAACAAAAAGGTATTAAGACCAAGAAGTCATATTTCAATTCAAACAATCAGCCCATCCTTTCAGCTCTGTGTCATCAAGCGTTCCTCTGAGAGCTACTGATCATCCACTCAGCTACTACTCTTAAACAAAACACATACCATCTGACTGACTGGCAGCTACTTGAAACTAAACTTTCATTATCTCTGTTGCTTAGTCTCGCACACAGACTGACGAAACTCTAAAAGAATGCCGTCTATTCAGACATTAGTGACGCAAAAATGCAGCTCGACAAAGACTGAAGACAGTTTTTAAAAGTGGCTCTGCCACACGAAAGTGGGCAGAGTTACTTATTTCTCCCTCTCCCTTCTGTCTGATGCCACTCAATATTGAGTATGTAGAAGTAAATGCAGAAATATTCAACACATACCCTAAAAAAATCTGAAAATCCACTGCTTTTTAAATCACCTTCCAGATACATCTATAGGGTATAAGTATGTAGTTTCTAAAACAGAGTGGCGATGGTCCTCAAACACTTTGTATGCTCAACTATATTAGTCGTCTGCAGATGATAAATGTATTTATTATAAATGTATGAAGTCTGTTTTGGAACAGTCTCATAAATTATTTCTGCATTTAACTGCATTGTTCACAAGATGCTAACATGACATATATTATGTCAATTATGTCACTAAGTTTACGCTCCTTTGAATATCAATCAGGCGATCTGATGTAACCACAGAGACTTTCCCCCTGCCCCATGAGAAAAAGTGATAAGTTAATGAATTATTGAGAGAAGAGGGGCCGGCAGACAAAGAGCGAAAGCCGTGCGTCCCATGCTTCTTCACCCCATCTGCAGTCAAAGAATCCCCCTGAAGATTGATTCATTGTTAACACCGCCTGACACCCTGTGTGAGGGAGAAAGAAAGTGGTAGATAAAGGGACAGAGAATGGGGGACAGGGGGCTCCATTTGCCAAGAATATGAGCAGAAGCAACTCATTGGACAGGTTCCCACAGTGGTCATTCTGCCACTTACAAAAATACCACATACGTAGGCTTGAGTAATGGCATTCCATCAGACTCCAAATAAAGACAAGTCAGCTCATCTGATGTTTGAAGTGCCATTCTGACTGGTTCATACTCAGCTACACACCATTTAAATGTCCATATTATTGAGACATCACAACCCATTAAATGAGCACCCTGCATGAAATTATAAAAGAACTAGTATTTGTCACTATAGGACCTCTCGCGGTAACTCTACCATGCAGGAATAAGACAAAAATACCTGAATGATTTCTGACTCTTACATGGAAATAAGCACTGGGCTGCACATGCCTGCAAGTATTGGCAGGGATGGCCCCAGGCGTAGAGAGCGACAGCACACCTAGCCATCAACCGTTTCAGTGGAGTGACTAACTTACTTCTTCATTGTCTGCCTGCACACTCAACAAGAATGTGCTTTTACCACCCAGAGATCTGAGCGCTCAGATTCAGCGCACACCTCGTGGAGCACAGAGAAAGCAAACCTGGACTCTACCTGAACCCTGCCAGGGTTCAACCTCACTGGCCCTTGAACACATCCATCTCCCACTGCCAGTCTGACACACACATACACACTCCTCTAAATATGATTTATCAGCAGTGAAAACCCACATTCATCATAGTGCGATGGGCCATTATACCAACCATTACAGTCGTGGATACGTAATCTCACTTCAGCTATGCAAATAAATAACAGATGCTTTAGATTTGGCAGAGCAGCTCGTCACTCAGAGTCTGATTGTCAGCAGTCATAGGGAGAGTGATGTGCAGTAGGCAGTTTAACATGGCATGCAACACATACATTCACCAACCACAGAGAAAACAAGATGTGCATTTCAAATCCCTTATAGCTCAACTTGTTGGAGCTGTTTGTTACATGCTGGTGAATTTAGTATCAGATTACAGGAAAGACAAAAACTCAACATTGTAAGAGCAATGTAATACGTTTGTTTACCTTCTACTACTTTGAATAATGGAAGATTAGAAATGAGCAGCAACCATTTGATTTCCCTACACGTGATAACTACAGCACTGTGGTGTAACCAGGGTTAATAGCTGTGGCTGTGACCGACTCTTGCAGCTCCAGCTGGACCGAAACTGAGGCAGGTCAGACCGCCTGCTTCAGCCTGTAGTTCACGGACATGTTCGGCTGTGTTGTGGCTCACACACACACAGAAGTGGGTTTAAAAAGTTCACACTGAGGGTTTCAAACTGAGCGAGTTCAGTCCCAAGCAGTAATAGCAGACTATTGCACCTCAGCGACTCACACAGCCCGTGTCTCGTAAACTTTGGAGCTAGCGGATAATGGACGCGCCGACACACACTGAAACCGACGAGAGGGGCTCGTTGTGACAGACAGTTTGACGTTATGTTTGAGATAATTGTGGTTTGGAGGTGGTTTATACCATAAGAAACATTCCCTGGCAAACGGGCTGTAGTAAGGTGGCTCGTTGTATCACGGTAGCTCAGAAAACCACAGGCTGCTCGGAAGCGGAGCAACACCAAACTGCCTCAGAGACGATCCATCGCCTCTAAACACACAATGACGCCAGAGTTCAAAACTTGGTTGAAACCGATTCGTGAAGCGTTAGAGGCAAAACTCACCGGCGTCGACGCTTTCATAGAGCAGAGCAGTTTCTTTTTAACGCCTCTACAAACTCTCCGCCATCTTCGGCAGGACGGTGTTTGTTTAAATGGGAAACACTCCCAGAACGGGGGGAGCCAGCTTGTAGCAGAGCCGCGGGGGCTCCTGGGTAATGTAGTTGGTGTTCCCTGGCAAGCCCGCATCAAACCGTGCGAGACGTCCCGCGCATGAACTACACGTACACCAATACCCATAGGTGATATGAGCAGCAGTCACTGATATTATTAGAGGAGAGATTTAAAAATGTATTTATAGGCTGGTAGAAAAGCAGCTTTATGCAAATGACTTTCCACACATAGTGAATCACATTATCAAGTGCTTCAGTGTGACGTGAAGCAACGCTGTATTCTCACTTTATAATTATATAATGAAAAGTAAAACCATTGCATGCATATAAGGGTGTTCTTATCATCAATGTACAAACGCCATTGTTTTTATCACTAAAAACTAAAAACATGGAGATTGCCAATTTTTATTATAAGATATATTTATTTACTAAAAAATATGGATTAAAGGATTACTTGTTTTATTTATGATTATTAGGTGTACAAAAAGGAGAGAAGACACACACACACACACACAAAAGATACAGAAAATCTAAAGAAATGGTTTGCTTACTGAACTATTACATATATATAAACTGTGGCAATGAAGAGTTAAATATGATTTTGTGAACTCTATTTCGGTGAACAAAACACTTATTCACTGTATCACACAAGGCCTTTTAGAATTTTTAATTATTGCATTTATAAAGTCTCTGCATTTACTTACATGCCAACATATGCAGCGTGTTACCTCACAGAATCACTGTTCACTGTGCCAGAGCAGCCACAGAGCTGTAGAAAGGGTCTCCATGGTGACCTCACAGATACACTGAACTTTTACTACGGTGAGGTTCAAAGATGGAGGGAGAGCAGCATGATGAGGTTGAAGGAATGGGAAAGACGCAATGTTAAATACCAGGTTAGAAGTCCATTATTTGCTCTTTCCTGTTCCTAATTATCTTTTTCCTTTTCAATTAGCATAGAAAATATTGACATGGAGAAAATGAAACAGTGTTGAAGCAGAACAGAAATATCCTCACATGACATGGTGTTTCCTTGGAGTGTTATACAATTACTAATACATATTTTTATTTATTATTACTATTTTGAAGCACTCTATGGTTGCAAATGGATTAATATTTATTCATATTGTTTGCTAATGTTGTAGAGTGCTTGATGAGTAAATGTAAGATAAATGTAAAAGGCCTTGCACAGTTTTGTTGTTGTGTGTTTTTTTATATGTCTGTCTTAGTGAGAAAGCCCCAGCTGCATTCTGTGGGGACCCAAAAGAGGGGCCCAGTGGCCCTCTGTTTATGCCCCTTCCCCCACAAAACACGGCAAACTGACCTCCCCCTCTGTAAGTGTGAGACACTTTATCCCATCCCCACTCACCCCACTCTACTTTGAAAGGACAGGAGATAACAGTTTGAAAGGACAGGGGATTGCCCCATAATCATTGATGTATTCAGATGGGTTTACCTGCAAACAGCTAACAGCATGCCTCTCTTTGTTTCAACAGACTCCCATCCCCCAACTTCTCAACACTATGCAAATGAAATTTAAAAAAAAGTGTGATCTTGCATCTTGCATCACGTCCATTATCAGCTCTTACACAAGTACTACACAAGGCCACATTGAAGAGCTGTGGAGAAATGAATTTTGATGTTATTTTCAAACAATACATATTAGATTATAGTGAGATTGAGAAAACATGTAGTCTTCATTCCATGATAATGTGTGTGTCCAAAATTTGCAGGAAAGTTCAAGAAAATTTTTTCATTCTTTGTAATTAATTAATTCTTTCCAAATTCAGTGGGTGATTGATGACATTTTTGTATTGAATTTTTCCGAGTACCATTTTAATGTGTTTCCTTTATTTACAAAGAGAATGAAACCATAATATGATTTAGGGAAATGACTGATACAGTATTCCTGGCCTGTTTGTTGTCTTATTAAAGATAGTACTAATCTCAAAAACACAGGATATTAAACCTATATGTGTGTAACTACATGCTTATTTATTAGTTTTCGTTTTTTTATTGTTTGAAATGAACTTTTCAAGATTATTACATCATGAGCCCAGCAAAGCAAATGATATGTATGATATGATATTTGTAATCACACCAGAGCTGAATGAGATTGACCAAAAACACTCTATGTAAAGAGCCTTCTTACTAATAGCCTCCAAACATTCTGCAGGTTGGATTCTGTAATCCCTTTTCAATGAGAGTTCAGATGAATGTCAACCGTTGTGGTGTAAAAACTATCACACTGCATCAGACAGATTCATTTCAACACGAGAATTCACAGAGAAAAGAAACTGAAGAAAACAAAAACACACAGGAAGCCTTGTATCTGGGCTGGAAGACTCTGAAGGAGCGAAACTGAACAGTGAAAGTCTGACTCGGGCGCCATCTTGGGGACAGCAGGCTCGTTACCAGCGTTTCACCTGACGAGCTCACGGTTCTGGATATACACGGTACCACGAAGATGAACTAATGTAAGAGAATATAAACTGTGTCAAGCCACGTTTTAATGTCAGGCACTAACAGGGCAATGACGTTTTATCTTTATTGTGTGTTTCTACGACACGTTTTTCCTCGCTTACACTCATGAATAATCTTTAATTAACTCAACCTAGCTAATTGAGGCTAGCAGTAAGTCAGTAATGCTAACTCCACTGGCAAGACACGTGACAGTGCACTTTCATAAAATACATTTGGTTAAAATTAGGAGATGCAACGTCATCCACACGGTATTTTATCTCAACCATTTAAACATGTGTAACTGTTCATCTCTGCTTCTTTGCCAATGCTATCAGAGTCAGACTAGCTGAACCGAGTGCACCATGCTAGCCCCTGTAGCATTGCTAACCTACACAACCTACAGTCAAGCCCATTTTCTACAAATTTAAAATGTTACTGCTGCTAGCATAGAGATCTGAGCATGTATACCCCGCCATGTCAGTACTCTCTCTCTCTCTCTCTCTCTACATATATATATATATGTTGTTGATATTTTTCTGTTTGCCATCACCTCCTCCTGGCTCTGCACTGTGGGATTTACATTTGTTAAACCCTATAGCAGTGATGCCCAAAAGCCAAGTTGGATGATCAAAGACATGTCCACATTTGATATTTGATCTTGGCCTCCATATTTCAAAATACCGTCTCAAGATCTTTATTATGTGTTGCTGACATTGTGCTTACATAGGGTGCGTTGGTGCTTACAGTAGGCTTTCCAGCACAAGATAACATAATTGACAAAACACTGTGCAGTGCATGATGTGCAGTCTGTGACAAGTTCGGGAGGATTGGAGGACGCAACAGCTCCTTGCAGGTTAAATTTAATACACCCAAAGCTAAATTAGTGTTTGGTTCAATAATATTTCACTCTTAATTCACACACAAGCATTGAGTTCATGTATAATTGCTGCTACATGTGGACCTTACACCATTATTATCCACTTTACTTTACATTTAGTAAATCTAACTTTATCACAGAAACTGATCTGTTTGTTTGGTATCACTTTGGTATCTGACAGTCACCTGGAATTGGCTTCAGCTCCAGCCCCCTCGCCTGCGATCCTTACAGCATAAGCAGTATAGATAACAGATGGATGGATGGAAGTTGGAGAGTGTGATGTTGTACGGTTTTCCCACTAGAGGCTGCTGCTGCATTTCTTCCCACTGAAGGCGAGGTCGACTGAGCAGCATAGGCAGCTGGCTCGACTGTCTACAACGTCAGCAGATACATTTTTGTATTGACACTGAATTCTGAAGCTATCATTGCATAGACAATGATTATAAGTACTGAGGGGGCGATAGATATCAATCAATACCAGTTCACTTTTACTGATTTTGATAAATGTGATAAATGCAGGAGAACTGTACACTTATGAGGTAATGTGAGGGATAATACATTTTCATTTAAATCATTAATCATGGGAAAATACTGCTCAATCTAACTTCATGGTGGATTGATACCACAGACTTTTCAAGTGTCTAGAACTGTGTGTAATCTTGGCCTTTCTGGAACCACATTGTTAACATGTGATCACACCAGTTCAAAGATTAGAGCCAAGTGAATCACATGACTGTAATTTAGTTTGATCTTTTTTTTTTTTTTGCATCGCCATAAAACCTTTATAGGTCAAAGAAACAGCGCATTTCATTTAGTGCCTACTCATTCCTTTTATTTATATAACACGACAATGGTTAGTGTAACTTGAGGGTGGGAGCTAGTAAGACAAATTCCTCCCTTAGTATACAGCCCCAGGTCTGTTATTTATGGGACTGCTCATTACCTTTCACATTGACACCAAAGGCCTCCTCGATATCCACTGTTTATGAATTAGAGCAGGTATGCAGACGTCTCGGGAGCTGATAGGTATGCAGGGGCTGATTCTTTTGATTTGGGCCTAGCTTCTCTCGCTCTGAGTACTGCGCTCAGAGTACTGAGCTTGCCTGTGCTAAACAAAAGACAAGAAGCCAGGAAATGCAACAGCCAATCATCAGCTTCCTTACATTTTTTCAGCGCGCACAGCCAGTCCCAGTATGCCTTATATCAGTGCAGTTAGTCGGCCAGCTTGTGGAGCCGTGGCTGTGCTCTGAGCAGGGTGAGGACTGACAGGGCTGTCCTCCATGTTTTAATAAGCATTGACATATCACACAGAGTTTTTTAGCCATGCATCCACAGAGGTAAGCCTTATTTTCATTCTTTCACATATTCTGCTCTGTTGATAAGACACCAGCCACTGTGTGTGATCTGTGCCTGAGTAATAATACATGTTTGTCTGACAGACTGGGGGAGGGGGAAGAGTATTTGTCACCCCACACAGCATAGGAGTGGAGCTTGGAAAGAGAACATAGCGTGCAGACTGCAACTGCCTCTGACTGGACACGTGCTGTAGGGGGCCACAGGTCAAGTGTAAGGTCACTGTACTGTATATCCATAGAATACTGACTAAGAAATCATGCTGTCTTTTGTCAGGATTTAAAGAGGACTGAATTTTTGTAGCTTGCCCTGGCCTGTTTTGCCAAGATGGCAGGCCTAGTGAATGGATCCAGGCGGGATGGGGGAGACAGGGAGCAGTACAGAGGGGGGTCCCAAGAGGAATTAACAGATGGTAAACTGACAGCACATTAAGTTAGGCCTCAAACTGGCCTGAGAGCAAGGCAGCAGGGTACTGTGGTTAACAAACTAACACGGCAATGAAAAACAGCCTGTTAACTGTCTAGTTGCCAAATTCGTCTACTAATCACCTAAAATCTAGTTCACCTCATCCAAATGTACATTTTTCTTGTCGAATAAAAACGTGTTTTTACACCCCTTATCCTGTAAGCTGTTCCTGCTCACCAGTTTTCGAAAACACCAATTATCTACAGACTAAATATGCCGGAGCAGCTTATTTATCACAGTGTTGGAGGAATTGCCCGAGCCTAATGGTGTGCACTGCCTCCCTGTGTTGTTCTCTGCTGCCGGAGTGTCAGCCATTTTAGAGAGCTTCCCCTTTCTGTCCCTCTGCTCCAAGCACACTGGTTATTTGTATGTAAGAGAGAAGGAAAGAAGAAGGGAAGGACTTCCTCTGAAAAGGCTCTGCACACAAACCTCATCTCATCAGAGAGGCTTGAAAACCTGTTTGAAGTCGACAAGGTTAGATTGAATTCTCTTTATGCGTGATGATGTTGGTGATGGTTTTCTGTATGCATGAGTCAGATAAAAATCCTTCAACTGGGTTAATGATTGCATCTATTTCTGACAGTTTATCAATAGTGTTATGTTAATCTCATAGATTTGATAGTTTTCAACGTGATTAATCATTATTAGTGTATGACGTCTAACAAAGGCTTTGTTTTTAATACAACCAAAGAAAACTGGCCTGGATATAATGGCGCTCAAAATGTAGCTTGACCAGGGTTCAGGAGCTGTCTGCAGTGGCTGAAACAGCAAATCCCCCTCAGTGTTTTGTGAATGGTGCTTGGTAATGCGTTTAATCCCCTCATTCCTCTATGGTGTGAGGAACGGTGCAGGCACACTTAAATCTGCATTACACAGACGCACGGCCTATTTAGTTTGGTGTCTGATTTAAAAAAATCCATCAGTTGACCTTCTTGGACATGTTCAGATTATGTAGTTGGCCTTGACATGTTCATTTCTGTTTCAGGGGAGGATTTATACTTGGTCATACTATATCTGTATCTTTTATTGTTTGTATTCATGCCGTAAACTTTTATTTGGATAAAATAAAATATATATTGTGGTACAGCAGAATTTACTACAGAGCGATGGAAATGCATAGCTTTTCTTTCAACTGTTTATTCATACTTGCTATTGCTCTTACTCAAATCTCCAGGCATATATCCATGAAGAGGCAGAGTACGCTAAAGAAGAGTTGGAGAGAGAGGGTTATGACTTCCTCACTGTCTGGGAGGCCGGTGACATTTTCAGTCCTGTCTTTGTGTTCACTATTAAGGCCCATGCTGCACAGCAGCATGCTGGGCCACATAATAAGCTGCATGTGGTCCCTCACAGTAGATTTGACTGGTGCTGCTGTGTGTATGTGCTGTGTGTGCGGTGCACATATTGGTCAGTGAGAGAGAAGGAGAGAGACAGAGAGAGGGAGAGAGAGAGAAAGAGAGAGAGTCTTCAAAATGGACGCCTTACACATACACTGGTTGAGAGCACAGCGAGGGAGGGAATCTGATCCTCTCCCAGTAAAGCCTGAAGAGCTACGCCTTACATGTCTGATAAAAGGCACACAGACAGTACACGTCTGAATGGGGTTTTAAGGGAGTGAGGGACTCTGTTTTCAGGAGGTTTTTCAACAACCGTGAGGAGAAGTCCTCTCTGCATTGCAGCATTGTGGCAGAGGAGAGCGGGGAGAAAAGAGCCTGTGTGCCACACAGAGGCTGAGCACCCAATCAGGCACCTCCGTGTGGTGCTGGAGCCAATCGGCAGTCTGCAGCCGAGGTTAAAGATTGACAATTGCAGGAGAGAGCAGCAGGGAGAGAAGGCCTTCTGGGAAACCTGGACCCATCTTTTCCCTCATCCCCCAACGCCCTCAATAATTGAAAAAAGATTAAAGAATAGGCTGGAGAATCTGTATGTGAGTAAGGAAAAAGGTATGCTGTTAATTTCCTACATTGGAGCATGGATGTTATGACAGTGGTGGGTGTGGAAAGGGATGTTTGAGTAGGTTACATTAGGCTGTGTTTGTGTGGTCTGTGGTTTTTGATCCTAAAATGTTTGTGTCAGGTTGGGCAGCATTCATTTTATCCTCCTTGTTCCTGTCCATGTCTTTCTCATTGCCTCTTGTTGCTGTATTTCCTGGCCAGGGCAGCACAGGATGTTGCTGGGGTATATTGTCTGAGGCTGCCCAGACAGCTTACATGAGGAGGCCAGTAAAGCCATTTCACTGCACTCTGCGCTGCACTTGTGTCTGCGGATATGCTGTGTTATTTCATCCTCATTATATGAAAGAGGGAGAGTGTGGGTGAGAAAATAATTTCAATAAGCAGTGTTTTTGTTTTCAGTAAATTATTTTTGTATTTCACATACAACATTCAAATGCTGCTTTTCTCAGGAGTAAGTTAAATAAAATATGTAAGAAAATTTAAGCCATCTGAACAGTGAGGCCGGTGCCTCTGCTGTGGCGGCAGAGAAAATGGCAACAGTAGTAGGATCGACAACAGGGTGCCTGTAAACCAAGGTGAATCACGTTGAACTGATATTGAGAAAAACCCTGCTGGCAGATCTTTTAAAAAAAGGTGGTTCACAGTACATTGTGGCTTGTATTTCAAAGAACACAACAGAACTGGGGCTGTTATTGTGCAATCCATGATGTGCTGTTATTAGGTCACTTCATCAATGAATTACTTGGATGTTTTAAAACAGCAGGGTAATCATTTTACATGCTTTTCACTTGCTGGATGTCAGAAGGTTCAGGCACTGAAGATTATTCTGTTCTGTTTCCATGTTTACTATTTATAGACCTGTGGCTGGTGGAGAAAGGCGAGTGCTATTTATAATGGAAAATGGCACTACACATTGAGCTACCATTTCTCTAATATTGGTTAACTTTTGCTTTGATTATGCGTAAGAATATTAAGCAGATGTTCATGTGTTGTCTTTCAGCTGTTGAGGTTTGGTTTTTGTGATATAATTGCTGTATTTTTAATATTTTCAGTTTTAATGTGTCTTTAAAGTTTCAAAACACTACATCTATTTCAAGTGTCCAATTTGTTTTCATGCAGCATAGTGCTATATTCATTTATTAGTAATTATTGCTTAGATCAAATCATATAAATATCAATTGTAAAATCAGACATTTTTAGTGCACAGAGTGCAATAAAAAGGAGATATTTCTTGAAATGAAAGGTTGGTAAAAAAGAACAATTTATAGAAACATCTACAGGCACAATATAGCAACCTTGGACTGGTGATAACATTTTCTGACTTAATCATGCATATCCTTTGAAGCCTATATGATTCCTCTTGTAAGCACGGTGCTTTGGTAGAAATAGTGATTTGAAGATGTGAAATGTTTTCTTTACTGAAGATACGTCTGTTTCCAGCTGAGCACTTAAAATCTAACTAGTTATTTTGGAGTCAAAAAGAGCCTCTGACCAATCTGACCTTTCTTGTTTAGAGCAACTCCTTTGTAGTTGGATTAGGGAAATGTATGAAGAGGTGAGACTGTTTAATCAAACCTCTGCAGGAATGTATATTAGACAGAAAAACAGACAACCTGACCATCTGTATAGTGCAATTTTTTTGTGAGCTGCTGTTTTCTGCTTTTATTACACAGTTGCATCCAAAATTGAGTGGAAATGAAATATTTGATACCCTTTGCTGCAATAGCATTAACTTGGGCAAACATTTAACAGGGATCTTTTCTGTGTCAGTGTGACAGAGGAAGAGGGAAAAGAAACCGCAGCAGAAGGAATGGAGATCTCAACACGGTCCAAAGGTAACATGCAGACAAGTTTGTTAACTCTGTCAAGGACGTTACGTTTTCTTTGGTGTTTGTTTGACTGTTATTTAGCAGCTTGAAGCAAAAACTGCTGTATGGATTACCACAAAAGTTGGTGGAAGAATGAGGTTTGGGTCAGGGAAGAACCTGTTAAATTTTGATGGTGATCTGGATCTAGTTTTTAGATAGGTTGGCAATATTTAAGGAGGCTATGGTTTGTGTAATCTTTGACTTTTATTTACAGTTTCAGACACAGGGTCAACAGAACGGATGTCCCAAAAACGAAAGATGCCAAGTCCATCTCAATCGTCTAATGGCCACTCCTCCGCAGAAACCTCTCCCTGCCCAATTAAAAAGAAGAAGAAACCAGGTGCTGTCAGCAGTAGCAAAGACCAGGTAACAATCAAACACAACCCATGATCCAAATGTAAAACATTTTTGGAGCCTGCAGCCCCCAGATTGAAATCTAATATCACTTCTGAACTCATTGATATTCAGAAAACACCATACCACAGCTAAGTTCATAATATTAAAACTTCAAGCTCTTCAGTAAATCCAAATATCATCATCTGCCACATTCAGACCTTCAGATAATTGTAAGTGCACTGATATGATTTGCAGAACGGTTGTAGGAGTCAATACAGTAACAGCATTCCCAAAAGTCTCTTTTAGATTCCTTGACCAATATGGTATTTCTTATCTCGTTGAAAGTATTTTCAGTCTGAACTGTTCTATCTTTGGTTTAGACCTTCGCATTATGGCTGTTAGACATTTTAATAATTTCAAATGTTTTAATTTTTATGAACCTATGATTTCGACTTCTAGTCTGCTCTATTTGGATTTAATTATTGATGTCTCTGAGGCACAGTATGTAGAGAATTGTACACTGATAATTGTTTTATCCAGAATTCTCTACAATTTACCACTGAATCCCTCATTGTGCACTATGGCCTGTTAATATGTTATACCTGCATCTTGGTAATCACATGGTGGGACCAAATATGGAAGCTCCAATTACACCCTGTCTGATAGAGAGGAGGAACTGTGCACACTATCTCATATGTCAGTCAAGTAGCATCTCTCAAATCATTCTTGTTTTCTTCCAGAGAAGAAACCGTACAACCTCCCTCATGCTGCTCATCTAAGTTAGCATGGTTAGCTACTCAATGGTTTATTTACCCATTAAAGATTATGTCAACAAATGCAGTGCCTGCCTTTAATCTGGATTTATGGAGTTTGTTCTTCATATAATGTATACCTAATTGTTAGACAAGATAAACTGGAACAGTGAATGTGTCGAGGCAGGCTGTACACCAGCTGTACTGGTGACTGTGTAACATTGTACCCTTCGGCTAATGTGGTACAGAAAGCCTACTGGGTTTCAATTTGGAATAATTTGTTAGGTGAGCCTGGATGGCCTGGAGCTCTGTTAATGTGTCATCAGGAACAAGCTCTTACAGTACACGTTTAGCCTGTGCGTGTGTGATGGACCGAAAGTTTAACACATTGCAGCATGCTTAGTGCAGTAAGATATTTTGAATTTTCTTCCTTTTCCGGTTTCCATGTCATAGGCTGATACTCTTTACAAAACTAAACATTAAAGAGGCTGCATTCCACCCGTGCCCAACATCATGCGTGTTATTGAAGACTGAGGACTTCATCCAATGTGGATAGCTTGCAATTGTGCTAAACATGCTCAGGTGTTTCTGGGTGAGCCCTGGTCATGTTCCTACTATTCGTCTATGCCAGATAAGATCCTGGAGAGGAAGTTGAGAGTGGCAGTGGCAGGACACATGCATGTCAGAAGCTGCATGGAACACCATGGAACGTGGAATCGATGGAGGACAAAGAGGATGACTCAATGTTCCTAGTTCAATGAGTGCATTAATCACTGACCAGCCAGTGGACAGCAGCTCATAAGAAGTCTGCAAATGGGCCTCAGCTTCCAACATTTCTCTGCCTAGCTAAATGAAACACCTCAATTTTCTAGAGATGCAATTATACTACAATCTGCACGTCATTCAGGTGATGGACCAACAGCTGGACACTGGGTCCCCTAACCTGCTCTGCGCCCCCCAAGTTTATTGTCAGGGCAGAGCCTATGAATATCAAACCATTCTTTTCAGGCTTTGATTTACTCTTTAGGTTGTACAGCAAGTTTGTGGTAGCAACACTGTCACCATAAGGAAAAGGTGTTCTCAGAATTTCCTCATAGATATAGGACTATCTGTTACGCTCACATGTAGTTAAGTATTCATGTGTGGTGATAAATCATTTCGGGGATCTTGGGTTCAAGATATCCTGGGCAAATAGCCAGAGAGAACCTGCACGATGTACAAAATCCTTAGGTCTTAACATAGACAGTCTTCTTCTGTCATGCTATTGGAGGGGAGATTAGCATCTCGCAAACAGGTCATTCCTCTTCCGTCTGGAAAAAGTCAAAAGTCAAACTCTGCTTACTGCTGTTGGCCTCATGGCTCTAGAAATGTCCCTTGTACAGTTTGGGCTTCTGATGTATAGATTTTCAGAGTTTGGTAGCAGCATTATGACTATGCTTATGCTGTCACATCAGCCGTAGGCTGAAAATAACACTGGCATGTCTGGCAAGACTTGACGGCTCTCGTGTCAGGTGTCCCCCTGGGGGGAGGGACATTCAACTATGACAATGAATGCGTCCCTATTAGGGTGGGTGCGATCATGTTGGGTCAAGCAATGCGTAGCAATGTGTGGGACAGTGTTATTTTCTCTAAAGCATTTTCTGCATTTATTTCCAAGGTCATCGTGTCCATGATTGTGGTTAAGGTTAAGGTCTTTTTTTACAATGTATACAATTTGAGATTACTTTGAGATTACAGCATTCTTAAGTTGGTCGTGTCATGAAGGGTTGTTATGTTCGACTCTCTCTCATCCAGTTGAGCCGCTGAAAGACAGTGGGGATGTTTATTTTAAGGAAAATGGTATAGCTTTTGCATTTGACCACAGCAAAACATGTAAGTGCTTTGCAGGTAATTTCCATCTGTCCTTCCTGCTTTTAGTTTGCCCCACGGCTCACAAGTTTCGCCTGCAAATGTCCCACTGTGGAGTCTTTGGCTTTATGCCCATCTCCATTCTTGTCAGGGAAGGAGCAAAGATTCAACACATTATGCCCAGTGTAGGCTCTGTATCAGTATTTGACAAGGACAGCAGGGTTCAGACAAAAGGATCAGCTTTTTGGGTCCAGAGCTACTCCCCATAGAGGCAAGCCATTGTCCCACCAGTCCCGCTGTCCCACTAGATTGTGGAAATGTTTTGTCTGGCCAATAGATGTAAGGGTTTTCAGTTACCGTTAGGGTTTGAGGGTTCCACAAGGGGCATGGGCAGTTCATGGGCCCTGTTCAAGGGAGCTTCAGTGAGCTGGGACATCTTTCTTACATTTTTAAGGTTTTCAAGGCTGTGTCTCAGGGAAATTCTTGGAACATGCAGTGCTCAAGGTGAACATGCCAGGGTTAAATGTGATAATGACGGCTTGGCTCAACACTGTTTAAGGATTTCGGGAACTTTTGCAATCCAGTAGTGATCCGTATTTTCAACAATGAAACACCTAATATAGTTTTGAAAAAGGCTTCTGGAATATTGAATCCTCAGTTCTTTGATAACAGGGAAGCATTCATCATCACTGCTCGAGGTGTGCCCCAGGACAGTTTTTGGAGGGGAAACAGGAAATTCTAAATCTTTGCCATGGCTGATGGTATACATTGTATTTACTCTGCCCTGCCAGTGTTGTTTAACAAAGATGTTACTCAGATAAAAGAGTCAAATGCTCGGTTTATTTTAGTGAGTAAATATGACAATGTTGGCTGATTTTCATAAAATGTTTTGGTAATGTAATTTCACTTTAAAGCATGATTTATTATCACTACTACAACCAATCTAATTTCTCTAGTAATTAAGAATAAGCCATGTTAATTTTATATTTATCTTTCACTCTTTATCTTTATTTCTGATATGGAACTGAATAATATATATTTTTTCTTTCTTTTAAAACATATTGTATATTATATATACAAGACTTACATATAAAATGCATTTGCAAAAGAATGTTTGTTCTTTTTTTCTATCACAACATTTCCTGTGCCAGTTCTCACGTGTTTGGAAATACACGTAATCTAGAAGATTTACAAGATAACAAGCTGTGTAGTGTGAACAGTACAGTAATCTGATGACTTTGAAAAGTCATGTAGAATGTACATGTCATTAGCTTAACCTTTGTAATTGGTTAGTAGCTACTGTAACTATTGAAACTTTTGTCAGTTAAAACAAGGTTGTCTACACTCTTTATCCTCCCACATTGTTGAAGGTTGTTTCTTAAAACACAGAACTGAACAAGTCACATCTTGTTTTCAGTTCAGTTTCAGTTCCATCACAATTCTGAACAATATGATGTTGACTATTAAAACTCAGTGGTTCTGGCACACTAATGAACCAGCTTTTTGTGTACAACACTTATCAGGGGACACGGCAGTCTGTGTTGTGGACTTAAAGTGTACCTTTTGTTGGTGTGGTCCATGTCTGTTTGGCTTTTCTAATCTCTGGACTGATTTTGACCTTCCCCAACTTTGTGTTTCTTTTGCCTGCATTCCAGTCAGAACTAAGACACGGTCCCTTTTACTATGTGAAGCAGCCAGCACTCACCACAGACCCTGTTGATGTTGTACCGCAGGACGGCAGGAATGACTTCTACTGCTGGCTGTGCCACCGCGAGGGCCAGGTGCTCTGCTGTGAGCTCTGCCCCAGGGTGTACCACGCCAAGTGCCTCAAACTACCAGCTGAGCCCGATGGCGACTGGTTCTGTCCGGAGTGTGAGGTACTCTCCCAGGGATGTGCTGGGTGTTAGAAACATATTTCAAAGCCTGTGGTCAAAACCTGTTGTAATATTTGTTTAATTATGGAGGAGCTCTCAGTATGCGAACATTTTAAAGGAGACATATTGTGCTTTTTTAGTTAATCAGTACTCAGGTATGTTATAATGTATTTTTGTTTATGTAAACGTCTGCTTTTAAAAAGTTAATAAGCTCAAAGTTTAAGGTAAAGGGAGATCCTCTACACTGCTCCAGATGCCCTTGAAACACCTCATCAATAGTACAACATAATGGCCCACATTTGCATAATGCACAACTAGTGGCTACTCTGACAGCCAGGTAAGGCTAAAACCAATAACTCACCATGTATGGAGGCTTGAGCCCTCCTGCAGTGGCTGCAGGTTCAGTTTAGACTCAGCCCCTGCCTGCATGTCTTTCCATCTAAAGAGAGAGCAAATATGAGCATAATATGTCTCCTTTAAGACTACATACACTCTGTGCCATAAGGGGATACCAACAAATTGTTCAACTCTTTTCCTCTTGATGTCTTTTTTAGAAAATAACAGTTGCAGAGTGCATAGAGACTCAGAGCAAAGCCATGATGATGCTAACTATAGACCAGCTGTCTTACCTACTAAAGTTTGCGCTTCAGAAGATGAAACAACCAGGTGTAAGTATTCTGGGCCCTCTGTCTGTCTAGGAAATCTATGCTACCCATCTGATTATATATTGTTGGGGCATGTAGCTTTGTCACTGAAGGGTTACTCTGTTTATTCTTATATAAAATACTGCCTTTTCTATTTGTCCATTGTAATTTATCACTTAGTGGCATGTGTTCTTTCATGGCCGATTTTATTTCAAGATTGCTTATGCAACCAAAAGACATGCTTTTTTTCTGGTCATCTTATTCCCATCAGTTGAGCTAGCTAATAAGATCTGCACCCTGAAGTATGTCCTGCTCAGATATCTGTCCAGCTCATATGTTACTGATTTTGCATGTGCAAAAGATGTCGAATAACAGAACTAACAATCACAATCATTGTGCTATTATGAGCCTGTCATGGCTGGAAACCATGAAGGTAAACATGCAAGCTGGTGCTGAGGATACAGCTGCCCCTCTCACTCTCTTTCAGGATCATCCCCGCTTGTCATCTCGCTCCCCCCATGCAGCTTCCACGCAGAGAAAGACTTTTAATTGGGTAATCAATTACACCACTAACAAGACCCCGTCATGATTTTCTCCTCTTCCCCTCTGTCCACCACTAGTTTTCCTCATTTTATTTGAAGCGGCTCTTAGAGTTTGAAGTAGTGGCATAGTAGTAGCATGTGGATGCTAGAGGGGAAGGTTGTGTTAGTTAGTTAGTCAGTTATTGTGGCTGAAAGTTTGTTTACCTTCACTCTTTTTTTCCGTCCAACTCAATTTTACAGACTGAACCCTTCCAGAAACCTGTCTCTCTTGAACAACATCCAGATTATGCGGAATACATTTTTCATCCTATGGATCTTTGCACACTTGAGAAGGTAAAAGACAAGCTTCACTCATTTATATGAAATGATGAAAAGTTGAACAATATGACAAATGAGCCCTGTCTTTTCTTTTTGCTCCCCAGAATATCAAAAAGAAAATGTATGGCTGTACAGAAGCCTTCTTGGCAGATGCAAAATGGATTTTGCATAACTGTATCATATATAATGGAGGTATTTTGCATATTCTGGACATCAGACATTTATAATCTTGTAACACCTTGCCAAATGAATGAATATTATATTATTGATAAGTATACAGTTAACAAATAGTTTGATACAAATGTATCTCCTTATTTCAGGCAATCACAAACTCACAGCTACAGCTAAAGTTATAGTAAAAATCTGTGAACATGAGGTGAGTATTTAGTTTGTGTCAGAAAAGAGTTTCATATTTGAGATGAATGTTTATTTGTTGATTAATTTCAGACATTGGAAATGAAAGCAGAAACATAGCTCATAAGTTTTTGTTTATTTTTTTTTCAGATGAACGAGATTGAAGTTTGTCCAGAGTGTTATTTGTCTGCTTGCCAAAAGAGAGACAACTGGTTTTGTGAGCCTTGTGTAAGCTTCTAAAGTTAAGTCAAGTTTCTGCTAAAGATTCCACCAGTGGAATACATCCACTCAGGTCCAGTGTTTTATTGTATATCTGCAGAGTAACCCACATCCTCTAGTGTGGGCCAAACTGAAAGGATTTCCATTCTGGCCTGCTAAAGCTCTGCGGGACAAAGACGGACAGGTGGACGCTCGTTTCTTTGGTCAACATGACAGGTACCAGCTTATTATACTCCAGGTACTTGAGCTCAGAGGAACATTTCAAGATTTATCATTAACACTCAATTATGATTTGAATATTCATCCTTCAGGGCATGGGTTCCTTTAAACAACTGCTACCTCATGTCAAAAGAAATTCCATTTTCTGTGAAGAAGACCAAAAGCATCTTCAACAGTGCCATGCAAGAGATGGAGGTCTATGTGGAGAACATGAGGAAGAAGTTTGGAGTGTTTAACTACGCACCCTTCAGGACACCATACACTCCTGACAACAACTTCCAGATGCTGCTGGACCCCTCCAACCCCTCGTCCACTCCAGTCAAACCTGAGAAACAGGAGAAGATCAAGCTGAGCTTCGACATGACCGCTTCACCCAAGATCCCTCTGGCAAGGACCATGTTGTCTGGGGCTGGGCTGGGCGGGGGCACAGTTGGGCGTCGGCTTCCTCTAAGTGACATGCCTCGCTCCCCCATGAGCACCAACTCCTCTGCCCATACTGGTTCAGATGGGGAACAGGAGACAGCAGACAAGTCACAGGCAAAAGCCCAGAACAGCCAGTACAGTGCCGGAGAGGAGTCCATGGACTGTACAGGTATTCCACTGCACGCAATAAAGTTTGGCAAACAAATGTTGTATCTGATGGGACGCAACTTATTTTAATCCTGAATATCTCTGAACAGCATCGCCTACCCATCCTCGACTTTGTCCCGCAGGCAGTTCATTGGACAGCCCTAAACCATTCCACTCTCAAGCTCCTGGCATCCCCAAGCAGGAGAAGACACCACAGACGGGAAGCATTCTCAACCTCAATCTAGGTGATTCTTTATGTATAATGTGCCGGAACGTGTATACATTCTCTGTGAGCAAATACAGCTATTAGACGAAAGAAAGAAATCTTTCTCTTTTGTTCCAGATCGGAGCAAAGCAGAAATGGACCTAAAAGAGCTTAGTGAAACAGTTCAGCAGAAGCAAGGAACCACACCAGTCCTCACGTCTCCAAAAAGACAGATTAAGAGCCGTTTTCAACTGAATCTGGACAAAACCATTGAGAGCTGCAAAGCACAGTTAGGTCAGTACAGAAGAAAAAGGAAAACATTTATATTTCTAATGTGTTTCTCTCCAAATTGTTGATATTCAACAGTATCTGTGCCCTCTATAACAGATGTCAAACATGCACTGAACTCCTTATAATCTCCCGAAATTACCTGGGGGGGCTGTATGTGAAAATGGATATGTCGGATATGTAAACAATCATGATCATCACAGTAGAAAATGTCTACACGTATTCCCCCTTACCTTAAAGCTCTGGAGATTTCTGTGTTGTTGATAACCCACCTGACCTTTCACAGTTTGTGAAAGGCACACTCCTGAGAAGGCCTGAACTCAATTGTACGGACATTCTCTGGAGTTCATATCTGAAAACAGCTGTTGAAAATAAGCCTAATGAACCATAGTTTGGCAATTAATCTGTTTCTAGGACGTGCTTTCATGATATATCTCTAAAAACGTATCTCTAATTTTAAAACACCTCCTCACTCTTCTTTTGCATCATCAGGTATTGATGAGATCTCTGTGGATGTGTATAAAGGTGTGGAACACAGTGACTCAGAGGACTCCGATAAATCTGACTCAAGTGACAGTGAGTATGCCAGTGATGATGAGCAAAAGACCAAAGATGGCCACGACGCAGCAACTAATGATGCAGCCCATAAGGACACTGCCAGAAATAAAGTCAAAGACCTGTCATCCCCAAGCCAAGATAAAGAGGGTAAAACTGATACACTGCTGGCATCTGAGTCTGAGGCAGGTGACACAGCTACAACAGCATCAGATGCTCCAGCTAAAGAGAAAATAAGCACTGATTCAGAAAAAGAAAGCCCAGAGAAGAGCAAAGCACCTCCAGCAGCATCACCTTCTCCCAGAGACAAGGCTCAGGTGAAAGAAGAGGGGAAGCAGCCTGTGCCAGTGGAGGACTCTGACTCTGAGAGGGAGCTGGTTATTGACCTTGGAGAGGAACAGAGGGGCAAAGACAGGAAGAGGGGTAGGAAAGACACCACCTCTGTAAAAGAGTCACCTGCTTGTAAACCTGAAGGTGAGAGTTTAGGTTATTCTCTCTTCTGATCCCATGAAAAACAATCAAACTAACACTGTATGTAATGTTGCCAATAAGCATTTGTAATGTGGAAGCATTTGCAACTTTGTGCAGTGGTAATATAAGTACTTGTTCTACTTCTTATCCTTACTACTTGTAGGCAAAGCACTGACCCCATCAACAGTCCCGTCTCAAAACAGTGCAGCTCTCTCCACACCCTCCACTGTCTCCACACAGTCCCCAATGGCCATTCCTGTCACCATGTACTCCTTCACTGCTCCCTCCCCCACAACCATAAGCCTAGCAACAGTGTCCAGTGCCACAGCTTCGCCCCCCTCCTCCTCATCATCCCCCTCAGCCTCCACCACTCCAGCTTTGAAGAAACAGCGCCCTCTGCTGCCCAGAGAGACAGTGCCTGTAGTGCAGAGAGCTGTGGTGTGGAATCCCACTACCAAGTTTCAGACCTCCTCGCAGAAGTGGCACATGCAGAAGGTGCAACGTCAGCAACAGAACCAGCAACCTGTGGCAACCACCGAGGCTCAGGCGTCGTCACCCAGTCAAGGCCAGGCTCAAGTGGTGACCCAGACTCAGGCTGGGAATGTGTCGACAGCTGTGTCCTCATCCTCCGCTCAGCAGTCTTCACAAAGTACACGCTATCAGACCAGACAAGCTGTCAAAGGTAGCTAACATGGTTTTAGTGACAAGTTTGAAAGAATTTAATTATGACATTGTGGGCCAGTAATGTGTGTTATGGAAGTTTTCTGGAAGCTGGTGAAAGGAGAACTCAGGCAGCAGCTGATGTCTAATGCATAAGATTTTAATGTAGACTTGATGCATCAAGGAGACGAGAAGGTGAAACAATATACCAACGCTAACAGAGTAACATAAGCAATTGTCACCCCCAAGTCTGAAGATGTCTCCCACAGCATCCCCATATATCATCCTCTACTTACGTCACCCATTCTAATAGCACATCAATGAATGGCTAGGATTGCTGTCACTCTCTAGGTGTTTGCATCCTATCGGATACTGGTGTAATACACAAAAGGGTTGAAGTTGGTGCCTCTCTGTCTGGGGCTTCTGAGTTAAATATGAAAGTCCCTAAGCGTAGACACTACGACGCACTGTTGGTTGGTCCTTTATCTATAACCTGACCTTGTATACTGCTTAGAGAGAGAAGGGAGCATCTGTGGAATTATTAGCCAGGCACTCTTCTCTTAATGGTGTACAGATATAATGTAATATTCACCATACATATATATAATACAGTATATAGTGACATATACAGTAATGTGTGAGGATATAGGAAAATTCCTCAGCAATGTGGAAAGTGTACAAATGTTTGAGATGTACTTCAATAAATCATCTGTTTGCACATCAGTCATTGTGCATGTGAACTGTGTCATAAGTTTGTCCATAATGGACACATTTTTGTTTTCTAGCTGTTCAACAAAAAGACACTCCACTCGGCACAAACACGTCCGCTGTCACCCTGGTATCCAGCAGTCCAGCTTCTGTTGCCACGATGGCAACAACAAGTCTAGGAACAGCTGCTTCGTCATCACCGGTGGCAACAGACCTGTATATCCCCACTGCCTCTGCAGATGTGGCTGCAGACATTGCCAAGTATACAAATAAAGTGAGTAATGTTTTTGTAATGTTTATGACTTACTGGTCATTTTAGGAGTT